TTGCAGGTGGTCTGGGAGCGGCGGGTGGAGGGGACGCAACCTAGCTTCTGTGTTGGTGAGGTAGCTTGGGCGAGCTCGAGCTCTTTTTAAAGATTGCTCTTTTAGAAATTATCTTGTAGAATTGCATAATATGTTCTGTCTCCTCCAAAAATAGTTTTTGATGTCAGGATTATCATTTGAATGCAACAGTGACTTTTCTTCCCTAAATAATAAGTTTTGAGGTTTTTTTTTTTTTTTCCCCCATTAAATAGGTTTCTCAAATACAGAAAAATAAAAGGAGGGAGCCATGCATGTTTTGAGTCATCAGTTTTGAAGGATTATTTTTGTTTTCTCATTTTGCTTAGGCGTACTCTCACACAGCTACGTACTGGAGGTCCAGATTTTATGTCAGTGTTGCCCAGCGCCCCATTTCCCACTTTGTAGAGGAAAAGCTGGCTATACTCAGGGACCACACTTGTCTGCAGACTTGGGACTGTCCCCAGCGCGGGAGAGGTTGTCCTGTTGGCCTGGCTGTTTATTGCAGCGATTTGGATGTTCTGAGAGTCACAAGGGACACCATTTACGTCCCTGCCTGGGTGGCACTTCGTAGCAATATCGGCTCTTCTTTTCACCCTTCTGGCCAGAGTCTCCCTCTGGTCCTCCTGATGGAGCAGGCTGAAACGGACGCTTGGCGTAATTAAGTGAATTGCTCTTACTTAACACAACTGAATAGCAGTACTGTACTGTCCTCTCCCAGTCTTTGTGGCGTTTGTGTGACTTGATGGCAGCCCAGAGTGGAGAGAATGATAGACATTTTGTAGAAGCAAAACTGTGTTGTTATACCACCCTTCTTGGCGCTGGCTTCTAGGTCCAAGTTCTAGTGACATTATTTGAGCTTGCTTTGCCCTTTCCCAGGCTCCTGAGTTAGTCTGAGTCAACAAGAATACTTCTTTCTTATCCCATGAGGATTAGGGAAAGGGATTCCAGGCTCAAGAAGAAGGTGCAGTCATTTAAGTTTGCCACCTTCTAAGGATCAGAAGATTATTACTATTTTTTTAATAAAGGTATATCAGAGATTGTAGAATACTACAATTATTGTTATTACTAGAGGTTGGCAAATACAAAATGCTCTGTTTTATTCAGTAATTAGTAAAAGCCCTTAAATACTTTAAATGCATCCTTTAAAACTGCCAATGCTACTGTGAATTCTCTTGTAAAATAAAACCCACCAATTTCTTTTCTGTAAATCTTGCATAGCTTCATTATATGGGTTGAATTTTCTTTTCTGTCCCTTGCTTCTTCTTTTGAAAAAAGATTTATTTATTTAACTCCATTTGTTATTATTATTTTTTAAATTTGACTAGAGAGAGACAGAAAGAAAGGGAAAGGGAGGAAGGAAGCAAGCTGCCAGATCAAAGACTGAACCATGGTCTGCCCTGTGGGAATCCAGCACCTTTAATGGCCACACCACCCGCTGGCCTCCATTTTAGGAAGGAGAGCTATAAAATGTGGTGTTTTCATACCTTTTGCCTCTGAGTACATGTTGTGATGGCAAGGAAAACTTGTTTAGTACTGATCTATAAGAATAGACTGGGTGGGAACCAGCAGTTAGTGTAATGGTTATGTCGCTGGACTCCCACGTAGTCGACTGCGGTTCGTATCCCGGACCCGGTGGCTTAAAACTCACGCCGGGCGTGTGTGCGTGCGTGCCCAAGATCTCGAGAGGAGAATGGAGGAGAAGGGATTGCGGCGTGACCATCCCCCCTGGGGGGCGATTTCTCGCTTTCTGTCTCTATGTCTCTGTAGTTAAGACACTGGACACGCCCACGTGGACAACCACAGTTCGAGTCCTGGACCTGGTGGCTTGCTTTCTCACTTTCCCTCTCTCTCTCTCTGGTCAAATGAAATGAATGAATAAATAAAATTAAATAAATAATTATTAAAATAAATAAATACATAAATAAAACGCATGTCAGGTGTGCGTGCGTGCCCAAGATCCCGAGAGGAGAAGGGAGGAGAGGGGATTGCACGTGGCCATCCCCCCTGGGGGGTGATTTCTTGCTTTCTATCTCTCTATCTCTCTCTGTCTGTCTGGCGAGCGCATGTGCCCTATAGCAAAAAACCTCTCCAAAAAAAAAAAAAAAAAAGAATAGACTGGGTAGATTTGTTGAGGGTTGCTTTTTTTATATATATATATATTGCACTATGATTTGTCAAATTGTACAGTATCTCATCCAAGATAATTTTTGATGTCAGGATAGTCATTTGTATGCAAAATGACACTTTTGTTTCCTAAATAACAAGTTTTGAACGTTCTCTTTTCTAATTTCCAGAGGGTATGCGTACTTGCCAGTGAGAGGGAAAGGGAGAAAGCATTCCCTAATGCTCTGTGACCATGCCACCGCCATTTGTTTATCCTGTCAGGATTTGGGGCATGCATGCTCCTGTACCGGGTGTATATTTTTAGCCACCAGGGCTGGGATTTAGACTGAAGTGGGCCATGTGGGATCTGGCTCCCTTTTAACCACTAGGCTATGGGGCTGGCCCTGAGTTCTTTTATTTTATGGTAATACACTATCTTTTATTGAAAACATTTGCAAAGAAATATTTTTAAAGAAAAAAATTAAAAACCATACCTAATGTTTTCAGACATCAATTCTGAAGGATTGTTTTTCCAGTTAGTTTAGTCTGGCATTCACTCACAACTTTGCCCAGGTTCCAATTTGGAATGGTGTTAATAGTGTTGAAGATGCAATTTTGAGGAGAGAGGGGAGTGTGGGTGGCTGGGAGGGTTTATAGGTTATATTTGAAGTAGAATTTTTCTCCATTGTAATGTTAGCATTATCAGAAACTTACTTTGCAGCATTTTTCCTTTTAGAAATAGATGTCATGAAATTCTTTAGCAATTTTGAACATCATGCCCACTAACGTTAAATGTGATATTTTACATTTTTTATTTAATTTAATTTTATTGTTTGTTTTTTTTTAGAGACAAGCTCTCACTGTTGTTTAGGCTAACCTCGAACTTGTGATCTTCCTGCCTCAGCCTCCTAAGTAATTAGGATTATGCATGCGACTAAGTCTTGGCTGCATGTTGCAATTTTTTTAAAAAAATGACATTAAGTTGGAAGGCTTTGAGACCTTGAGTCTCTCTGTCACCTCTTAGTGACATATCATTGCTAGAATTTTTTTTTTTTCCTCCTCTTTCTGAAGGTTTACTGTTTTCCTTGTAGCATTCATCTAGGAGCTGTGGTTTTGGTATCAATACTTGAAATCTTTGTGTGTGTATGTGAGTACATGCTTGGGTGGTAGTGGGGTTTTTTGGTCTATTTTTATATCTATTTATTTGGTTTTACGTTGCCAGAAGGTATTTGCACTCACCAGAAAGAGACAAGAGAAAGAGAGAGAGAAAGAGGGAGAAGGAGAAAGCACCCCTCAGTAGTGCATGGTCACACTGCAGTCCCTTCTCCGTTTCTCCATCCTGTCAGAATTTTGGGTATGTTTCTCAAGACGCTGGGTCAGGATTTTAACCACAGTTGGTTATGTGGGATCTGGCTTCCTTTAACTGCCAGGATATAGGTCTGGTCCTTGTTTGTTTTTAGACAGGGTCTCACTGTCACAATCCTTTCACCTTAGCCTTCCAAGTAGCTGGACCACAGATGCACACCTTTAAGAGGGGCTGGAAGGGACCAGCAGATGGTGTAATGGTTACCTTGATGGACTCCCACGTAGTTGACCACAGTTCAAGTCTTGGACCTGGTGGCGTTAAACTTAAGCCAGGCATTTGTGTGCGTGTGCCCAAAAGAGGAGAATGAAGAAGAAGGGATTGCAGTGTGGCCATCCTCCCCTTCCCCCGGGTTTTTTTTTATATACCCTAAAAACTCTCTTTTAACAACAACAAAAAAAAGGCTGGTAAATGAACCCAGGCCTCCCATGTGGTGGTATCCTGCCAAGCAGCAGCATCTACCACATTCTGTGTTTTATTTACATATGTAAATTTACAGTTTGAGATTTATACTAAGATTCACTCAGTTAGCTGAGAGCTCACAGATCAAATCAGTATTCTATTTCCTAAGTACTTTATATTCACTTCCCTATTAAGAGTTAATTAGGGGGACCAGCAGATGGTATGGTAGTTAAGGGTGCTGGGTTCCCACATGGCTGACTGTGGTTTGAGTCTTGGACCTGGCAGCTTGCTTTCTTGCTTTCCCTTTCACATGACCAACCACGGTTCAAGTCCTGGACCTGGTGGCTTGCTTTCTCACTTTCCCTCTCTCTCTCTGGTCTAATTAAAAATAAATAAATAAAATCATTTTTATTTATTTTTGTATTTTAAATAAAAATACTAAATTTTTAAAAATCACTTTATTTTACTTCATTTTATTTATTTATTTTAATTTGACCAGAGAGGGACAGAATGAGAGAGAGAAACAGAAAGTAAGAAAGCAAGCTGCCAGGTCTGAGACTTGAACTGTGTTCA